ATGCCAATAATACAAAAAATCAACTATTAAAAAAGTAGGAACAAGAACATTTATATTATTGTTATCATTACAATAACCATACAATGTGAATTTAAAGTCAACATCAACAGTCAACACTTAAAATGTAAGTAGGAACAGGAATATAAGTTATACTCATAAAAATCCACTAGCATTATTTGTACTTGAATTGTATGCTAATTAATCAGAAATATTTTCCAGGTCCTCTTCATTTTCTTCATCTGAAGTATTTTCCAATTCTTCGTCTGAAGTCCATAGAGGCCTAGGGTCATTTTCATCTTCACTAAATTCTGAATCACTTTCATCAAAAAGGAAAACACTTGGGTATGCTTTCAATATTTTTTCTCTTTCAGCACTAAGTTCAGCCCTTTTCTTCTTTTCTGCCTCTGAGCACTGTTGGGAGAGGTTTAGATTGTGCTTGATGGCCACCTCTTTCTCAACTTTTTTGTTGTTGAGTCTGTTTCTTACTTTGTTATGAACATATCCATATTCGGACCAAATTCGCTCACATGGGCAAGCTGACGGAAGCAAACTCAACAAGCGGACAGCAATAGGGTGCAATGGCTGGTTTTTGCAGTAGAAGTCCCACCATGTAATTGAATTTAAGGTAAGTGCACGTTTCCACATTTTTTCATTATCATAAAAGTTTGTTTTTGTTGTAAATTGAGCCAGATTTTCTACAACTTTTTCTGTATTTTCTTTCAGATGAGCAGCAATGGCTTCAATCACCTCTATGGCACGTTGGCATTCTGTATCTGACAAGCCTTCACCAGCAAACACTGGATCAATTAAATAGGTAGCTAAGTGAATGTCAAATATGCAAAATTTGGTTATTCTGTGAATTACAGCTGATTTAATCCTTTGCACTGCACCAAGAGGAATAACAGAATCCTCATTCAATGCTTCATTTGCTAAATCTTTTATCTTCATACATATTTTCACCATGTGAGAGAGTTTTGCATCGTCGGCCTCTATCAAATGAGTACCTTCTACCACTGGTTTCATGAAACGTAGAAAGAATGACATCTTTTCCCAAAATGCATCATCCAAGACAGTTGTCTTCACTGCAGCCGGTACCTCTGTAGCATCGGTGAGAACTGTTTCTCCTAGGGCAACCTTGTTTTTTTGCAGAGAAACTAACATTAAATATGATCCACCAAACCTGGTGGGGGAGGGTAACACTAGAGCACTAGCACTTTCACCGTAATTTAGTTTTTGCTTAGATTTAAAAATTGCATTTAGTTGTCTGTGTTTCCTAATTTTAACAACATCTTTGGCCGAGCTAATGAGATCTCTAAATACAGGCAGCTTAGTTATATCCTTAAACAATAAATTTAGGCAGTGTGCACCACATCCAATTGTATAAATATGTGAATACTCTTCTCTTACCAACCTCCAGGCTCTTTTCATAGCAGATGCATTGTCTGTGACTAGAAGTAATACTCTCCCTGCCCCTACAGAATTAATCACAGCGAGTAATTTTTCAGCAATAAAATTTGCATCCTCTCTCTGAATGCCAGGCTCCACTGCACTGTAGAAGTACGGTTTAGGGGTACAAACCAAAAAAATTTACAATACCCTCAGTTCTAGTATTAGTCCATCCATCAGTTTCAATTGTTAATGCTTTTGCCTTGGAAATGTCACTTTTCACTGACTCCATTACACGTTCATACTCTTTATCCAAAAGTGGCCCGGCAAATGTCTTCCTTGATGGCA